CCTTTCCCCCCCCCCCCCCCTTTCACCCGGCCGCAAGAGACGAATTTTTTGAGTTTCTCGGGGGGAAATTTATTCCTACGGCGATAACGGAAATGTCCTTTCACTCGTGAACCGCGAAAGTGAATGTTTAAACTCGAATTTAGGATGCATCCTTAATCCGTACGAATATGAACGTCCCAATTTCGATTGGGGGGGATTTGTTTCTTGTGGAAAATGGAGCACGTCAGCACTCGCTTCTCGACTTCTCGAACGGAAAAGTATTCGCTCGATGAATCAGAGTCGGGGGGGGGAGTTCACTCTGTCTAACTGAGAAGTCGCTCGAGTGACTCTCGGTGGCTGTCACTCTACTTTTCGAGTGGAATTTCACTCGAAGAAATCTAGAGGGAGAACCAACCAGTTAGTTCTCTCCTCCTCCTCCTCACCCTCCTCCTTCTCACGACCGTCCGCCTCGAACGTATCCGCGCGATCGCCGCCTCGACGTTATATTCAAACGTGCCTCTCTCGCTACAACTCATTACTCGCAAAAGCCAAACCGTATTATCTGCCTTCATCTCTCCGATAACCTCAGCACCCTCCGCGCGATCAGCGGCGCGTGACGAGCGGTCACGAGTCTCAAATGCAAATGCACGTTGCGCGGAGTCGGGCGAAACGGAAACCGGCGGCCTTTATCGCCGCGGATTTTCGTATCAACCGGCGAAACCGTGCGCGCTTATCACCACGTCGGCGGTTCAACGACACTCCGGCGCGTCGCCTCGATCCGAAATTGAAAAAAACAGTGCTCGGAAGAGAGTTAGAAGGAGAAAGAGAGGGGAGAAGCACACGGATCCCCCGACACTTCCCGGTGACTCACGGTCACAGGGACTGCCCGATCCTAATGACTTCCTGTATATATTCCTCCGAATGAAAACGGTGATTCATCCGTGCCGTTTGCGAACTCGCGCGAAGAAACGCGAGGAAGGAACGCGACGGATTTGCGCGCGAGAGAGAAAGAGAGCCCCTAAAAGTCGGCCGAGTTCCCGACGGAAGACGACCAAGGCCACGTCCTCGTCTCTCAACCGGAATGCCCAGACGGATGTTACCGGTTAAGGGCCCTACCGCGATCGAGGCCGCGTCTTTGACGCGAACGCGACGCGGCCAATCCTCCTCCTCGGCCGCTCTCGCACCTGGAACGCTCCCCGGCTCCTCGGTTCTGCTGGCCGAGCAACACCTCGACGAGAGGGGTGCTCGCTCTCTCTTTCTCTCTCTCTCGTAGCTCGCGTACCAGCGGCGACCAACCGGCTGCACGTGGCCGCTGGCAGCGGCCAATCGGCGGCTGCCGGGAAGCGCACCACGCGTGCCACGCTTTGTGGAGCGTCGGGTTTCCTGAACCCGTTACGAAACACTCTCCTCCACGGGAAAGGCTCTACCGGCCGCCGCTCAGACATCTCTGCGCGGTCCGGCAGCGCGGTGTTCTCAGTACACGTCGACGTCCTCGCCCGCTGCGTCCGAGCGAGTCCCGAGGAGGATGATCATCGACCAGGTACGCGATTTACCTGGCAAGAGCGCGCGCGCTCACCGAGCTTGGCTGTGACGGTGCCGCGCGCAGGTCGCGGCCAGACTCGAGGGAGGCGCACTAGACGACACGGTCGTTGAGCAAGAACATTCCCCTTTTTTCTTCAGTCCCTCTTTACAGTCGTGTCCTTTTTCCTTTTCTCTCTCTCTCTCTCTCTGATTCTCCGTCTTTACTTCGCTCCCACTCTCGCTCTTGGGACGTCGAGTACCTCGCTTGCACCTCAAGCTCGGCTGGATGTTCCTCTCTCTCTCTCTCTCCTTCTGTCCTTCGTCGGCTTTCGTCGACCTCGTTGCCAAGGTGGACGCGCGTCCATCATTCTGAGTGCGCGGTCGGTGTTAGAGGCTGCGTCTCGGCTAGAGTCCGTCCGTAATCACGGGCCGGTTCGCGGTGATATAAGCGCTGTGCGGACTACCGGTGGGGGTAGGTGTGATATCTCGGGTAAGGAGAGGTCGTGTGTGCTCCGTCGCTTTCACGAGGAAGCTGCCGGTGAGTACGAGGCGGTCGGAAGAGAAGAACGTCGGAAGAACCGCACGAGGGGAGTCGTCGAGAGCGCGGAACTTCTGCACGCCCGGGCATGAAATTCGCGCGCGAGTGCGGCGGACCGCGGCGTGAAATATCGACTACCCGGGGAAACGGTGGGTTCCGATTGTTCGGAAGGACCTTGGGAGGATTGGAAAGTGCGCGGCAGAATGATCCTCGGGCGGCGGCGACGGTTTGCGAAGCGCGTTCCGCGAAGCGGGTTCTCTCTCTTTCTCCGTCGCAACGCGCGAGCGTTTGAAGCGTAATGCACTTCGCGGCGAGGTGAGCCGAGCATACGATTCATCGCTGATTTTCCTCTCGATCGCGCCGCCGCTGCTCACCGTGAGAAACAGAGAATCTCTCCCCGGAAAATTGTCTTTTCACTAATCCCGGCGGCTCTCCGCGAGAGTTTCGCTGTCCCCGATCGATTATATTATCGGGGAAATCTCGGCGGATTACATTAGCCGCGCGCGCGCGTGAGGCAACGCGGAACCAGTCGGCGTGCCCGTCGTTGAAGCGCGACGCGCATCGCGCGCTCGCTCGACGCGCTCGAACGAAACTGTGTGTGCGTCTCGGTACATACGAAAGTAAATAAATGCCCGCATGCACGAGCGGAGACGGAGAGTCGTGTCGCGGCGATTTCACGTCGCCAGATAATTAATAGCCGAACGCCGTCGACCCTCTCGAGAGAGAGATTACGCGCGCGCGCGCATTATGTCACGCTGCGCGAGCGAGCGCGCGGCTCATACGTTCCGGAATATTGCTTTCCGCGCGCGGGCTTATCGGAAATCTTCCTTGTCGGCCGGTCATACCTGTCGAGCAATTACGCGGTCGCGCATAAATCGCGCCGCGCGACTATGAAAACTCGCAGCCGCTCTTCTTATCGGCCTCCGCGATACCCTCGCGCGTTCACAAGCCGTCTTACAGATTCGACGCGTTCGACGGACGAGTCACGCCGGAGAACAACAGACGGACACGCTTCTTCTCTCCCGCTGGGAATGAATTTTCGGCGAAAGCCGGAGCGACGTAACAACGTTCTCCTCGTGGCGGGACAAATCATATTCATCACACTTTTCCTCCGCGCAGAGTAAACGCGCGATATCTTCTTCTCTTATACCTCGAATTATCTCGCTTTGAAAAATAACGTTCGCGACAAATTTCTCAAATATACACGCCTTCGTACACCGGACAAACACGTTTTTATAAATCTTTAAGTAAGGGAATATCGGAAAAGGCTTATAGATTCAGTGCGTCAAACTAAGCAGCAAAAAATTAGTGTGCCAAGGAAGGATTAATACCGTTCGATTCCTTTTCTATCTATCGTTCTTCCCTCCCCCTCCCCCCCCTCCTCTTTTTCTCGCATTCTTCCTCTCTTCAATTCTCACGATACCTCCGCACGTAATCTCGTATTTCTAATTTCGATGCCCCGCTCCAATCTCCTTCTTATCGTTCCGTCCGTTCCGTTTCGCGCGTCCCGCAGTACCGTCGGCGATTGTTATTCCGTTACGTCAGCGTTTTATCGCGCGGCGCACGGATTCGGTGTTAATGCGAGTCCCCCGAGGATCACGTAGGCGAGAGAGGAGCGCGCGAGACGCTTTAATTGCGGCGCGCGATACCGGGCCAGTTCCGGCCGGCGCCGGTGAAACCGTATGATTAAACAAATATTCCGTCTCAAATCTCGCCTTTCTAACGTGCGGATGATCGCGTTATGCACGCTCACGTACGTCTCGGGCGTCGCAAAGCGTTCACCGGGAACACGAGCCTCGTCGTTGAACGACGAGACACCGCTCGCAACGGGATATTTAAATAAATTGCGTTGCGCGCCCGAGCGGATCTCGAAGAGGCGACTTTTATTTACTTTCTTACGTACTCGGCGACGCGAAGAAAATTGCCGGTTCGTCGGATCGCGCAAGGATAGTAAGTGATTGTTAGTTAGCCGGTGCGAGAGGTTTGTCAAGCGTGATAAAAAAACAAGATTACCCAATTTCGAGGGATTCGCGACTTTTACGAATGCGGGGAGCAATGGAATTTTCCCAGACATCCCAATGAGGACCTTCCGCTTTCCTTAATACCGTAGTTTCGAGGGCTCGGGGAAAACTCGGGGTTTTTTTTCCCCATTTCTCCGCGTATTTCCCAAAGGTAGAAAAATTCACGCGCGCTCGGTACAAACCTGCCGCGTTTACTTTCGCCGTGGAGAGATATAGTATTTTAAAGAGTCGCCGGGAAAATTCGCGACCGCGGGAACCCGCGACACACTTGGCGCGAGCGAGACGCGCCTCTAGCCCCCCCCCCCGGCGGTTTCCCCGGGGAAAAACCGCGGACCAGCCGAGCAGCGTTACTGCTAAAAACCACGCGATTCATTATCGCCTCTTTAGCACGCTTTCTAGCCTGCATTTTCCGCTCGTATTAAGCCTGAGACTCTCTTACCCGCGCGGCCCGTTTTTTCGCGCGCGCGGAAACGGGAAGCCAGATTTCTTTCGGAGATCCCTCGAGCACAAAAGGGGTATATTCCGTAGCGAGGAGTCGTCCTGCGCGGCGAGGAAGAATCGACTCGGAGAGTGGCCGGGGAAAGGAGAGGGGTGGAGCGGCAACGCCGTTCATCGGCGGCGCGCTAATTACTCTGCGCGGTACCTTTGCCGGCCGCGCGGCCGGGGGATTGCGTCACAATGCAACAACGGGTGAAATCAATATTATTTCCTACAAATCACGTTCGTTAGGCGGAACGTAAACTTCCGCGTCCCAGAACGCATAGAAAGAGAGAGAGAGAGAGAGAGAGAGAGACCAGCGCACATTTCACCCGACGTGCGCTTTAAAGTCCATTGAGCCACGGCGGCACAATAGCGGCGGCACGCCGCTAAATCTAGTTTCCCGGGGGCCCCTTTATATTCCATTCCAGGAGACGACCGCGCGCACACCTCTCGCCCACCTACGCGCCCGGTCACGAAGGGTACACTCCCCGTTGTTGTTGTCTCCAACGAGAGAAACTATCGAGCTGGCCGCTTTAGGTCGCTCGGTGAACGTAAACGCGTAAAAGGGGAATCGTCGGTGAGAATTGTGAGAAGTGAGAAAAATTGGGGAAAGGGGGGGGGGGGGGGGGTTTATTTCTCTACCGGATGTATTTCGGACGGCGATAATAAGCGTATCTCTTTCGTTTCGTCGCAGAGCGAGAGCCGCGAGGAGACGGTGACCAGCAGTTCGACCGTGGTGACCTCCACGAAGGGCGGCACCAAAACGAAGAAGAAGAAGATCGAGGGCGTCGCTGGTAACGATGCCACCTCGCCGAACCTTACGCCGCGCACAAAGAAAACCAAGAAGAGCAAGAAGAGCGATCTTGAGAAGGAGAACATCTCCGTGGTGAGTTGTAAATCATCGATGGGACGCGCGCGTGTATATGCACGCGCGTGCCTCTCTCCGTGTGCGTGTGTGTGTGTGTATGCGTGTGCGCGCGTACGGGATGTCCCGCAGCCATCCTTTCACCTATCGTCTAATCGTCGTTCGACGACGATTCCTCCCTCTCCCAACGGGAGGGAGGGGAGGGGGAGGGGGCGAAACTCCGATTGGACGTTGAGTCGAAATTCCAAATTGAATAATAACGCTTTGCGTCGAGAGTTGCGCTGATGATTAACACACGTTCGTCGCCGCACTGATTTTCGTTCGGTTGCACATTGCAGCAATGGGCGATCTTTTAGGGAAAATTGATTTCTTTCTTTTTATCGATCTTTAAATCGAAATAAGTGGAATCCGTTTGCTGGAAAAGTCAGATCGAAAGAATTTCCTAGATTCAATTTCCTAGAAATCGCACCCGAAAATTGCATGCAATGAGCATTCAAACGTGTTTCTTTCCTAGTTTATAAGTATATCTACTAAATCTAAAATTAATTCGCCGTATACTTATACAAGAACGATCCAACCTACGTGGAGTATGTTTTAAGAAGAATGAAGATGAAAACTTGACATATGATTTAAAAATAAAGATAGCACAGAGGTTTACGCGTCACGACGATTCAGGAGGTCGAGCATAGTCGATTTTCCTTTTATTCCCGACTGCCGTCAACCGAAGGTTAGCAAAAGCTAAAGGAGCATGTGTTTCATCGATGTTGCATCCTTTTGTCACGCATGTTCGCAATAACCATAATTCGTAGTTCGAAAGTTTCTTTCATAAGCTTTTCATATATTCAACCAGGATTTAGAGCATAAAATAATCACTAATAATCAAAGTGTTTCCGTGCAGAAGTTGCAAATGAAATATCAGCCTCTACTTGAAGCGATAACTAGGATTTCGATCGGTTCAAATTCTACTATTTTCCTTCGTAGTAACTTTTTATTCACAGCAAAATTTGTCGTCACTCATCCAGTCCTCTGTAATATATATACATCTAATATTCCGATTGAAATAATCGATTTTCGGGGGGAGGGGAGGGGGAAGATCCATTTTCGGAAAATTGAATCGAAATCGTCCATTCATTAAGTGTACACTGACACCGGCAGGATAGCCTTAATACGCGGTGTAATTGGGTTACTTAGTTTCTAGACATTGACGTCAAAGCTATCGCGCAATCACTGCTTTGACACATCGTTTCCCGCTTCTGCGAGTAATCAATAAATAATGAATCAATAGCGCATACAGAGCGGTCTAATGACCTGGTTACATCGCGTGCCGAGGCTATTCTGCCACGGTTAATCCGTACGAGAGCCTAACGGACGACTGTACATTGCTAAAAATACGACCAATAATCATTGTAGTTTCGACGTGCATGCGTAGCTTTTGTCGCGCATCGTTAGCTCCTCTATCGGTCGCACAGCTGAGTTTGTTTTTTGCGTTGTTTCGCAATTAATTACACTTTATACGTAACTTAACGAGGCGGAACTAAACGAGACGTCATTAAGAAGCCGTCAGATATTCAATCACGGAGAATGAATTTTTCGGCCGCTGAACGTGAGGATGTTGCTGGCGACTGATAATTTCTTCGTGATACCGGTGCCACAGTGATCCGATAATCAGTGACGATCGCGGCATTAAGCGTGTTAAAATAGTCCAAAAGAAACAAGAAAAAGAGAGAGAGAGATCAAAGTCTCCATCCATCGAGGGATCCGTCGACGTGATATTCGTCGCGTGTCCTCATCGTCGACGTATCGACGTCTCCGTCGGACGCACGAGAAAAGACGCTCCCACAGGTAAAAATTAGCCGTCCGTTTGATACAACTGAACTTTCGTCGATTTAGCAGATTCTCTTCGTCCCCGTTCTCAGTGTTTAACTCCCACGGCTAAAAACTGGAGGGAGATTGGTAACTAAATTTCACTTGTATCACGCGGTCAGCTAATTCCTCTTCCCCCTGGGAGACGACCGCGAACGATCGGACGAGGAATCCGCGAGAGAGTTCGGCGGACAAAAATTCTGGGACATCCCGTAAGTGTCACACGATTCGCGTCTATACTCCCGCGTTTGTTCGCTCGCTCCGTCGCGCGGCGTTAATTATCGGCACGCGCTCGCTCGCGAGCGCAAATATGTGTCAACGCGCTTGCACCAATTCCTCGCATCCCCGATAAACGCTGATCGTTCGTGCTGTTATCATCGGCTGATATAATTGAAGGCGGTCCACACCTGAGCGGCAGCATAAAATCACCGTGCGTGGAACCGTTATCACGTTAATTAGCACTTTGCTCGGTTAGCCGCAGTCGCCGGCGGCTGCGAACGCGTCACCGGTGAAAACCGGAAGCTCGTTTTTGGTCCCTCATCTGCATGCGGCCGCCGGTTGATCCGGCCGGCTTTTCCGGATCGTCGGCACAGATAGGAGCGGGTTTTCTACTACCTGTCGCTTCGCGGAATCGCGATCTGATACGCGATCGCGACCGATATCGGCGCGCTACTAAGTAGAGCGCGCGTGCGTGCGTGCGAGCGGGCGATATCGATCGAGATCTTCTCTCCTCGAGAAACTTCCCCTCGTTCCGTGATAATACGTCCCGTTCTTTTTATGAAACGGTATGATTTATTTGAGCGAAACGACATTTCCATTCGAACCAAATGATATTTGATTGTTAAATTATGTTGTTTGTGATTGAACCAACTCAAGTCGAACACGTGTCAAATCCAAAGAAACCTTTTTGCTCTGCGCAAGGACCTATTTTGGACGACAGTGACTCTTTCGGTGACTTGTCAAGAAAAAAGGGACAAAAGATCACTCGAACGACTGGATGGATAGCGCTGCTGCTGCCACCGGCAGCTTTTATTCCTGCTGCGCGCGCGCGACACCGCCACACTCGGGAAGGAAGCAATCGAGCGATATTATGCAAAAATTGGTTATTCCGTCCATTCCGTTATCCGATAGGATAATATCCGAGACTATCGCGGCGGATAACAGAGCCGAGTGATTTGCGTTTAAAGTCGCAAAGTCGAGTCGCCAATTCGGTCGAATGTACACTTCGCCTCGTCGTGATCCCCTTCTTCTTTTCCTTCGGGTTTTACGATCGACCTGTTTTTGCACGATAACGCTTAATTGCACGACCCGTCTAGAATTCACGAAAGACGGGAAATGCGGGGAGAATCTCCTCGCGAACACATCCTGCACGTGTACACACACACACACACACACACACATATATACACACACGACAATTAATTATTTTAATTAAAAGATAATCCGGACTTCATCTCGTCTCACAAAGTGACGTACGAAGTGAAACGAGCGACGACGCTACGCACAATTGGAACGCGACTCTCCCGCGCGACGCATCTCATCGAGTCTCGCGCAGCTCCGGCCTTGAAAATCGCCTCGCTTCGAAGTGCCGGAGCGATTTATCGCGATTGCGACAATTATTATCCGTCGCTTTTTCGACACTCTCTGTCCCCCCGACGACTAACGACGAGCAAATTAGCGTAGACGCGCGCGCGCGCGCCATCAGTCACTCCTCATTTTGCATGTGTGCTCAGTGTGTTTGTGTTTTTTTCTTTTGTTCCCCCATTCAGAACTGTAGTTTACGTGACGCAAGCATGCACACGGGTACTCGGCGAACGCACTCGGAGATGATCGATTTCTCCGACGAGGACGATTTGTCGAACGTCAACGTCAAGTCGCTGGTAAGTTGCGCTCAAAAATACGGTGTATGTACGGTCTGAGGGAGCGACTAACCCGACTAACCCGACCGGCGACTACGCGAGCAGCGATCGTTATCGAGCGGGTAGCCGCGACATTACTTCACCGTCGAGACCCGAACTCGTCGTTCCTTCACCGGCGACGACCACGTTATTATTACGCCCCGCGAGGAATTAACCTCCGACATTCGGCGCGATCGAGTTTCGCCAGTTGCTTTTTCCCTCTTCGCGAATCCGCCGCGGATACGCCTCTGACATTTGACGCGAGCCTTATGCAACAACGCGTAACCCCGCCGTTCCTGCCGCCCCCTTCGCAATTTCTCAGCTTCCCCGCGCGTTGTACACGTGGTCCGCGCGATGCAAGTACCATTTCGCAGCCGGCCGGCCGGCTCTTTTCTCTCTCTCTCTCTCTCGCTCTCCCGCCGGCCGACCGATGAATTAGACACGCGGCTCGCGTGCACGAGATTTATCCCGACGTCCGCTCACCTCGGGCCGCGAAGTGATCTACTGGATGTGATCCCAGGAGATAATGATTCCGGAGCGGCTCTCGCGAAATAATTAGCAGCGAGCGTAAGCAGCTGGCTGGTACGATCGCTCCATTAAGCAATTAAAAGTCACCTCCGCGCCGTCCGATTAAGAGCGCTGCTCTCGGACCGGCGGAATTATGTTGTCACTTTCGGAAATTGCGTGCGCGCCACGCAACCCGGCAAAAGAGCGGACGTTAAAACCGCGCTTTTAGCCCGGCGAAGTGACAGGCCGGAATGTGTGTATGCGTGTGTGTGTATGTGAGAGAGAGAGAGAGAGAGAGAGGCCGGCTGGCCCTTTGAATTGTCACTCGTCGCGACAGTGAGACCCTTCTTCCCGTCGTTGTTGAACTTGAAGTCGAAACTGATAGCGATCGATGCTGCAACGTCTAGTTGTGGATGTGTTGCCCATAACTCAAAATAATGCAAGAATTACGGAAGAATTACAAATTGATTTAAAATTGCATTTAAAAGCGTCACCAAAAGTTTGGTAATAATTTAAAGTTCAGGTCAAAAGTATCCCACTTTAAAGGGGATGATGTGAGTTTGATAAAAGAATCCGATGAAATTGACACTATACGTTGAAACATTATCTATCTGCAATTAGAGAAAAGATTGACCATACGAGAGGTAAGATACTAAGAAGGTAAAAAAAAAAAAATAAAAATGGCTGAGCGAAAGTAAGAAAATATTCTGTTACACTGAGAGAAATTAGATTTATTCTCGGCTTCAGCTGTACCTATTTTATGTTTTTAACCACATAAATAGTAGTAGCAACCTGCATGTAAGATTATTATCGCTCACACTGTAGTAACGCTTACTAAAAAAGTAGTTCTAACTATAATTCTTTCACTACAATGATTACAATTACAAATGTCAAATATTTTTCTCTCAGTGCAGGGTTTTGCGAAAGTTCGTCGAATCGTTGAAGACTTTACTGGCTAAAAGACGAATGATTTTACAGACGAGGACCATTTTTCAAGCAGAGTCGGATAATTATCAGAAAAGTAGCAGGACGTGATGAACAATGATGGCGGATACCTTGAACGTTACGTGTACCGTTTCGTTTTACTTTAATAAAATAAGTATGGCGGAAAATAGCGTCGAACTTTCGCAAGCTCTTGATATCTCATAACGGAAATATTTCCGAACGAAAATATTTCTTTCCTTACGAAGGCATCTCTTTCTCCGCCCCAAGCGCTTCGTGCTAATTCAACAGTCGATGGATTGCATTAAAAGAAAAGAAAAAAAAAAAAAAACCCGAGAAAGAGAAGAAAAACGCACGAATGTAATCGCTCGTTGTAACTCGCATGCACACTAACTCGCCTGCATTTTGTGTCTTTTCTTTCTGCGCACGCAGACACAGAACTATGTCACGGAGACGAGTCGCAGCGATCAGGAGAAGTTATGCAGGGAACGCATCGCGACCGGCGTGTCCATCAAGCAATTAGTAAGTAATGACTATCGGCGGACTACATTCTCGCGTTTACTGCGCACGGCGAAGTGCGTTGTAAGAGAGGAAGACACTCCTCACACACGTACGAGAGACCACCGTCGAAACCTCCTTCCTCGCAGACCGTGGAAGGAAAGGGTCTCTCTCTCGTCGTATCGTTATTTTCAACGTGAACTTTTGTACTCTCTCCGTAATCGATAAGATCGACGAGATATAATTTCACACGCTTTCTTACCGCAAATCCGCTTTATCGATAATAGCTGATACATTTGTCAGATGTATTTTGTCACTAACAGTGTCGCAGCTTTGGCGACATCTCGAACATGAGCGATGGCGATCAGACGGCTTTCGGGAAAGCGAATCACGCGATGGAAACCGACGAGGTTTGTATATATATATATATATATATAAATATAAATATATATACTATAATTTATCTCTCATTCGCGTTACGCATCGAATGCTTGCTTTCTTTTTCTTCTGTGTTGTTCGTGAGCATCGAAATGCGCGGTCTTGTTTGTCTCGTAGTTTTTTTTTTGGACGATGTTAATACGACGGGTCTAACAAACGTGCAAATCCACGTGCGAATGCCGCTCGTGCTAGTTTTCCTCTCGATGTGAATTATGAGCGTTTTTCACGAATATTCTCTGGAAATACATATTTTTTTTTGGTGCAACCAATTATTTTCGGTAGTAACGTAGCCGTGAGGCTATCGATAGTTGTTGCACAGGCAGAATTTGCGAGCATGCGAGAACGCTTATTAACGATGTCGCAAATTGGTTCCGTTGGAGCGCGGCGTGTGTGTGTGTATGTGTGTGTATGTGCGATACACAGGAATGAGAGAGAGACGCATTTACCTAACCTTGGTTATTGCATGAGCCACTTCCGACGTGTTTGCTGCTTCGTTTACGTGGCGATAATGCTGCTTCCGAATGCCGATTCGGAAACCGATTAATTCTAATACCGTACTAATACATCGAGACGTGAGTTCTGTGTAACCGCGAATTTCTTTTCCGATAATCGCGCGATTTTCCCCGCGTTCACCCGAAATGCGAAAATGTCACGATTCCGTTGCGTTTCCCCCGCGACGCGGCAAGACTGTGACGACGACGAATGGACGGGAATCGAGAGAGAAATTACACACGTGTGTATATTGAATAACTCACTGAAAATAATTCCACACGTAACGAAGAGAATTTCCGAATCGTCGGTCGGAAATTTGCGACAAATTTCCTAGCCGACTGTCGAGTTTTTCGTCTCGCCGACCAGCCGACTCTCTCTTTCTCTCCCTCTTCTCCCCCTTTCATTATCCTTCGCAAACGATATATTTCACAGAGCTCACGTCTTTCTCTCTCTCTCTCTCTCTCTCTCCCTCTCTCTCTCTCGAGACGATCTCCACGACTCACCGCTAATCTGAATTCTCTCGTTGACGCTCTCTCGCCGCTCGTAGAAAGCAAGGTCGATGGGTGATCTGAGAGTATGCGAGCAGGATTACTCGAGGTTCACCAAAGACGCGCTCGTCTTCGCCGGGGTGTCGGTCAAGGCCCTCGTAAGTACCCTTCTTCGTACGCACGGACAACATTGGAGCCAGCCAAGCGACAACGCAGACGACCGCGATAGACCGCCCCTCTCCTGCTGCCTAACGAAACTTGAATTTTATCGGGGTCCGCGATCGGCAATTTCTCCCGGCCCCCGGGAGTAACGATCTATAAAAGCCTCTCTCGGTGGGCGTGTAATTGTTTTATCCTACGGTACCTGGAGGCGGCCGATCATTTACCGCGGCTCGCATTAATATCGTGACTCAACGCACACGAAAAACCACGGATATCGCGCGCGCCGATTCATAACGCTCGCGTTGGCGATCGTTCTCGCGAAACGACCCCCTCCCCCGCTCCTTCCCCGCTTGAAAGGGGGGAGCGATCGTGTAACTTTTCCTCCGGGGGGGGGGGGGG